TAACACAATGCATTACTTCGCTATCCATCACTTTCTTTCGCACTGCCACTCAAAATTTCCCTAAATGAAAAGTATGAAAAGTGGAGATAACATCAACGGCGATGACGAGGAAGATGATGCTAACAATGATGATGATGATAACGCAGTGATAATGTCGCGTGCCATCTTCGCTGGTACTTGTTTCTGCTGTTGTTTTCAAATTAACTGCTCCTTCCTTTTGCGATTCAAAAACATTTTATGCAATGAAGCTGCATAACTCAAATGTACTTTCTACACTCTTTTGTGGCTCCGGCTCAATAGTCTTGACTTGTCCTCCCAAGTACAGATTTGGGCTAATTTTTTTTTTACCTTACTGCGAGGCTAATTTTGAAAACAAATAAAAATGTTCGTGTTTTCAGGACTCGCGAGAAGGGTTGAGTTGAAATTTATTTCAAAAAATGAAACGAGATCATCAGGAGAATGCAGCATGCTGACCAATCATGCTGACCATCAGGAGAATGCAGCACTGGTCAGAGAAATTGGCGCCAGCTGCATAGCTGGAGAACAAAATTATGAATTGATATTAATGAGCAGTCTTAGGAAAAAAACAAAGGAAAATTGCTAAAATAGTTAAAAGCAAGCAGACTGTTTTGTTATTTTGGAACAAGACGAGTAAAAAAGCTGGGGTTTTCAGAGCTTTGCGCGTTCTGAGTTTTGGTCAAACGGTCATTTTTTGCACGTGTAGGCATGTCCACATTAATGGCAAAGCATAATCATATCTTCCCGTTAGGCAAGCTGTGTCCTTTTCAAGTGATCTGCCTCGTTTCTTCGCCTTAAATTTGAAGAAAAAGGCAATCGTCTGTAACCGGGATAAAAGGGGAAGTTTCTCTGGATGCAGCTCTTTTTAACTAAAAAAAACTCCTTGACTCGAAAGATTAAGCGCTCCGCGGTTTTTCGAGGTAAAAACAGTTGTTTGAAGACTTCTGAAAATGCATCGCTGGTGTTGTCGTGATAAGCAAACCCACTGATCATAGGTTTCGAAAAAACCCACTGATCATAGGTTTCAAAAAGTCTGAAAAAGTAGCGAGACTTTGAAATTTTTACTCACTTTTGCTCATTCATCGTTAGGCTTTTTCTCGTCGTTCGTGCAGCTGGCATTAAAAAAAAAACTCCAATCTTCTCTATTTTGGACTTTTCTCGCCCATACGTAATTCCATATAGCTACTCAAATGACGCGACAATACAAAATTAATTGCTCGAAAAAGCAAGAAAAAAAAAGAAAACACGACTCGAGAAAGTCAGTTTGGAATTTCTACATGATGTTATAGTACACTTTACATTTTTATTACAGGCAATAAAAAAAAGTACATTTTTAATGACTTAGAAATACACAGCATTAACAACAAACAACTTGTGTTCATATTTTTCTCAAAAGTTTGATAAGTAGTTATGATAAAGAATGAAGGGCATGACGGACGGTGACATGTAGTGTGTTTGCGCGTGTATGTGTGTGTATGTGTAGGTCGCGGTCGTCAAACTTCAGCATTCCAATCGGTACGGGTTCAGTCGGATTAAAAACATGCATATTATTGCTCAAAAACCTGCTAGTTCAGAGAGAGGTGTAAAAGAAACGGGCAAGAAATTTCCACATAAACACCACCAACCGGTAGCTCTAAGCTGCAAATCCGCGAAGCCTGGCTTTAGAACCCTTTTCTCCCAGCTTCCACAGTTTTTTACGATACATATTATACTGGTCTAAAATGCAACTCATGAGAGATGGACCTCGCATAGCTGGGCACAGTGGTGAAGAAACATTGCTGCACTATCACTAATATGGGATACCCACACTGATAGCCCAAACGATCGTAGTATTTTTGGCAAATATAAAATGTTCATCTTTTCGAAAAAAAATTGAGAAAAATTTTTTTAAAAGAATTCTTATAAAGAGCTACATTATTCAACAAAAAAAAATATTTCAAATGGTATTCTGAAGGTAGAGAGCTCTTCTAGACCGTACAAAAAGTAACGCTCAAACCAAGGCCTATATCTTGTGGCCTAAAAAATAGAACCTACATTTAGAGTACAGGAACATTTCAGTCAAATTATAAAAACAATAGGTTAATATTATTGCTTAAAAAGATTATTTCAAAAGAAAAAAGTAAATGACCAATGGTTTATCAGTAAGAACTGACAATCCTAGAACACGTTTTCATTGCACAAAACAGGTATCGGAAGGAATTATAATTAATATCCAGGAGCAGTCCTTGCCGGTGGACAGTGATCGCAATCACCAACTGGACCTTTTGGTCCTGGTGCGCCAGGTTCTCCCGGCAGCCCGGGACTTCCCGGTAAACCCGGCCATCCTGGATCACCTGGTGGTCCCACTTCTCCGCGCCCTCTCCTGCCCGGTAAACCGGGCGGACCGGGTTTACCAGGTAGTCCGGGTGGCCCCGGTGGCCCTGGTGGCAATGTGATAGCTTCTCCTGAAAAAGCAAAAGTGTTAAAAATAACTGGGGAAAAAACACTTGAAATAACTATTAGTTTATAAAATGAATACAAAGACGTCGGTCTTGGTAGACGG